TTTTTGGGTCCATATCACATGAAATCATGATCTGAGAAGCTTTTACCAAAAATGCAGTCAAAAAACTTCACAAAAAGTAAATTCAGCTTGCCTAAAACGCAATTATCTTAGATGACCTAGGTTGACCTTGACCCTGACCTTGACCCCTGTACATCGTCGAACAACATGTTCCATGATAGGTGGGAGGTAAGACTGGCAAAAAAGGCCGAAATCAGGGTGTCAAAAGCTCACAAGGCCCATGGCAAACGCAAGATGTTGAGAATTGGCCATTTGGGTCATGACATGACCTGAAAACAAGGTCATATCTCCGAAACCAAAAATCACAGAAACTTGAAATTTTCAGTGGACATCAAGAAAGGATAGACGAGCAGCTATACGAAAAATCAGCTTTCTAGCTCTAAAAATGTTGAGTGCAGAGCAGAAAGACTGCCTGGGGGTGGCAACCCCCCTCCCCCCCCCCATGTGCGGGCGAGGGTTAAGTCCCTAAAAATAATTATATTTACAACTTTTAAAAAGATACAGCTTATACAGCTTGGACAAACAATTTTTTCTGCATTAAGATAATATTAATTTATCTCCACAGAATAAGGTAAATTAGTGCTGCTGAAGTTCGCTTTCGAAGCGTCCCCTCCAAGCATTCCACAGCTCTCGTGCCATTTTGGATCACGGAACATAGCTGGGCGCAGGACAGGTCGTCTGCGAGCTTAGACGGACCACGTGACCACCTCCTCCACTCTCCCTCACTCCCGTCCCCTTCCCCAGCAGGGCGTCCGATCTAACCGCGCCCCAGGCAGTCGGCTCGGTCCGACCCTCCCCATGGTCGAGCCACGGCCCGGTGCCGCCTGAGTTTGTGCCGGGTGCAAAACTGGAGCAGTAACTAGCGCCGGAACTTGTAATCAGCACGACCATCGTCAGATGGCAGGAGTGAATGGAATAAGCGGTTCCAGGTTTCAGAAGGAATGGGGCAGGAAAAAGCGCTGAAAACAATGTTTTGCTGATATAGCCATAAAAAGTTCACTGAATTAGGAGAGCAGCACATCAGTTTAAAGCCCTTCAGATGGTGGTTTTAATAAGCACACAATCGTTTCCCAATTCGCCTCCAACGGTGCCACAGGCAAAGAATACGCTGAAATACTAGTGTGTACAGAAGCAACTGCGGGTCCCTGTACTTGCTCATCTCTCAAAATCAGTGTCATCTGCCAAAAGTTTTAGCCATAGCCCACATTGCACATTGTTTTATGTAAACTGTTCTCTCACCACCCGCCGCCAGCCGAAGCGCCTTCCCCGTGCCCACAATGCCACCAGTAACTGGTACGCTCCGAAGCGATGGTGTTAACATCTCCGCAATTAATATCAACTCCATCACTGCCAACGAAAGGCTACAGGAGCTTCAAAACTACGTTGACATTAACGATATTAGCATACTAGCACTATCTGAAACAAAACTTGACACCACTATACATTCCAGTCTTTACTCTCTGAAAGGTCTTCATGCACCATTACTAAAAAACAAGACAAGGTTGGGCGGAGGAGTTGCAGTATATGTCAGAGACACACTACCTTTTCGCAAATATCACATCTTGAGTGTGAGCTCTTTGAAACCCTATATAGGGTTTCGCTGGGGGTTCGGCCGTAAAAAGATAGATAAAAGATCAAAGATAGGCCTATGGGTGAAAATCAAATTCCATAAAACGACGCTGCTGCTCTGCTCAGTTTATCTTCCACCGAACACCACTAGCGACCGACAATCTCAATTCCTAGATTACTTGTCTGACTGTGTCCTTGAAGCTAAACAGCATAGTCCCGATCTTCTGGTCCTCGTTGGCGATTTTAATGCTGGAAACTGCTGGCTGCCTAGTAATGCACCCAACCACTCCCCCATCACCACTTTCGAAAACAAACTGAAAAATATCACTGAAGCGTCAAACTTAACTCAAGTTATTAACACAGCAACCCGCATACAAGGGGACACCCACAACTTAGAGATTTGATTTTTGTAGACCGAACCGAACTTATTAAATCTTCAGGAGTTTTACCGGCTTTCTCAAACATCGACCATTTCCCTCTACTTATTTCTTTGTCTCTTCAGAAAATCGACGCAGACCGACATGTAACAACAACCCGCTGGGACTACTCAAATACCAACGTTGACGGTTTCATTAATACACTGAGAAACATAGACTGGAGCGCCATAACAAATGCCGACACCGATGATGCAATTGAAATGTTAACAGAAGCCATCTTGCATACTGCAGTAGCTCACATACCAAAGAAAACCGTAAAGATCCGCAATCACAAACCGTGGCTAACAGCAGAGCTGAGGCGCGAAATGCGTAAACGAGACCGGTTATTCAAGCTTGCTCAACGTCACAACTCAGAAAGAGATTGGTCGATCTGGCGATCTCAGCGCAACCTTGTAACCAGCCTTAATAGAAAACTCAAAAATGAAACCATTCAACACAAAGTACATCTACTTGTCACTACTAAGAAAACCCCTCACAAATACCACAAAATCCTGAAAAGCGTCACAGGGTTCAAGCAAAACTCCATTATGGCTCCTCTGATTATCGAAAATGATCTTGTAAGTTAAGACCACCGCAAGGCCGAGGCCCTCAATTCGTACTTTTGCTCCCAGACAGAAATAAACATTACAGATAAACACTTACAACTCGTACGCGAATACAAATCATCATATAACAGCACTCAACACACCTTCCAGTTTTCTCCCATTACACCTCGGGATGTTTTGAAGACCATCAATGGGCTGGATTCGTCTAAAGCCACCGGCTCCGACGGCGTACCGGCGAAACTAATCAAAATGTCAGCGGCTTACATTGCTGAGCCTCTATCCAGAATTTTAAACAAATCAGTCCAAAAAGGCAGGTACCCAACTCAGTGGAAGAAAGCCACAGTTAAACCAATTTTTAAAGGGAATGGCTCCCCATCTGAGGCTGCATCATATCGACCAATAAGCTTACTGCCGTGTCTAGCGAAAATATTCGAAAAACTTATGTTCGCTCAGATATATGAGCACATTCACAGTCATTCGCTCTGAACACAAAAACAAAGTGGTTATCGCCCTGGTCACAACACAGAGCTCCAACTTGCTTATCTAACTCACAGGTTATATAGAGCCATAGACTCGGGTGAGGATTACACAATCATTTACCTGGATATATCAAGATATTTCGAAAAGATTTGGCATGAGGGACTGCTAGCAAAATGTGATAAAGAATTTGGTATAAGAGGTGCACAACTTGATTGGCTAAACTCTTATCTAAGTGACAGGAGACAAGTAGTCCAGCTAGGCCAAACTACGTCCACCCAGCGTGAGTTATCCGCAGGAGTGCCACAGGGATCCATCCTAGGCCCACTGCTGGCCATAATGTATCTAAATGGGCTCAGTAGCGTTACCAACAATGAAATGCTATTTTTTGCGGATGACAGCTCCTTACATGCCAGTCACAATGTTAATAATTTTCATGAAGTTGAAAAATCACTGCAAACCGACTTAAATCGCATCAAACGCTATGGAGACGACTGGATAATAACATTTAATGCTACAAAAACAGTCCAACAAACGCTTAGTAACAAAAAAACACACATTCCAAGCCTGGAATTTGGCGGTTCACCGATTCCCATTCGCGATTCCCACAAACATCTTGGAGTAACAATCTCAACTGATCTGAGATTCAAGTCTCACGTCGACAACATCCTATCAAAATTTTACCGCACGATGAGTCCTCTCTTCCCAATAGCATCTCTACTTCCACGACAAATCTTACTTCAAATCTATCAAATGTATGTCCAGCCCCATCTCGACTACTGCGACTCAATATTTGATTGCCATCTGACAGCATTTGACAAGTCCCGACTAGAGAAAGCACAGAACAGGGCGGCACGCCTCATCACTGACACACCTCAAAGGACGTCTACAGCGGGCCTCCGGAAAGAGCTGGGCTGGACCTCACTAGTAGACAGACGTCGGGCCCACAAAGTGCAACTCTATCACAAGATAGCATTAGATGATCGTGTTCCGGACTTTATAAAAGACATCATACCCAAAACGAGAAACCTAGAGATAGAGAGAAATCTGCGATGCACACAGTCCACTCAACGCACCATCCCAGCAGTCCGCTCAGCTTCCTACGCGAGATCTATCATCCCAACAACAACAAGAATCTGGAACGAACTACCCAACGACTTACGAGCCGAGCACAGCCAAAAATTCTTCAAAAAGAGGCTGTATGCATATGCCGGTATAAACATGTCACCTAGCTCCTACCTAAGCACAGGTTCCAAAATTGGAAACCGGCTTCACACCCGACTCAGGCTTAATTCATCAGATCTTAATGACCACAGATTCAAATTGGGGAAAAGTGATTCAGCCAAGTGCAGATGTGGTGCTGCTGCAGAAAACAACGAGCATTTCCTCCTTATCTGTCCACTCTTTCGCACAGAACGAGAAGAATTGTTCGAAAGGTTAACTGAAATTCTCAGTGAGAACTTTCAAAACATTCCTCGGAAAAAGAAAATAGAAACACTGCTAAATGGGCCTTCGCGAGTTATGAAGGTTACCCGCCATGACACCGTCATGGCCGTCCAGAGCTATATACTCAAAACGCGGAGATTTGCCTGCTAGAACTAGGAGCAGCACTTCCATTTCGGAATACATAGCAATGGCACGAGTAGGGGCGGGGACAGGCGCTTCGGCCAAGGCAGGGTCGACTTCGCTATGTTAATATTGACATTTTGATTCAGATCAGTAGTGATTAGTAGTGTTCGATTAGAAGTGTTATTGTCTGCTTTCTACGTGTTTCGAGCGGCGTCTCGTTTTAAGCGCCATAGCGCTTCTACGCCAATCGTAATGTTTCGACAAGTGTGAATATTGATGCTCAAATAAATCATCTCTCTCTCTCTCTCTCTCTCTTTCTCTCTCTCTCTCTCTCTCTCTCTCTCTCTCTCTCTCTCTCTCTCTCTCTCTCTCTCTCTCTCTCTCTCAGCCCACCTCCATTATGCCGCGCCCGTCCATTTCTTCCTCTTTGGAGGATCTAGGGTCCTCCACTTTGACAGTCCAATGGACACAGCTTTGTGATAGGTTTACTCAAGACTTGACCTTCTCTTCCGACGCCTACTACCCTGACGTGTCCGTCTTGTCCAGGATGCACGGCCTCTACGATGACAAGAAGCCACTTTCCGCTGGGTGTGTTGGGCTCGAGGAGCAGCATGACGTCTCCGACTTCAACATCTATTTTCACCACTTGTGGCGCTGTGACAGAGTGGGCAGCAGTTCCCTCTGGAATCGTTTCCATATCCTGGCGATGAACTCTTGAAGATAGCGCCACCGACTGACGGTGCGGTCATATCAGGAGCCAGAGTACTACATATCTGGCCTATCAAAAAGTGATTGAAGGTCAGGCACGGCTCGTCCTTCGGATCCGCCCCGCAGTACGTCAGAGGCCTGTAGTTCAGCATTCCTTCTACTTCAGTGAATGTGGTAGAAAGTTCATCATCTGTCACTGATGCCTTCTCCAGGACGACTTTCAGTGCCTTCTTGGCCGACTTGATGATCGACTCGAACACTCCTCCATGGTGAAGAGCTGATGGTGGATTTAGCTTACACTCTACCCCTTCGTGACCAAGCTTGCATGCGATTTCAGGATTCGCTTCGTCTAATCTGCGCAATTCCTGCCTGGCCCCTACGAAGTTCTTGCCATTGTCACTTATGAGCACCTTCGGGTTGCCTCTTCTGGCTACCATGCGAGAAAAAGCCAGTAGGAACGCGTCAGCGGTCAAATCAGCTACCATCTCCAGATGAGCGGCACGAGTTGCCATGCAAGTGAACAGGCACAGGTAGCGTTTTGCTGTCGTTCTGGGGGCCACTGTTGTGAGATAGGGACCAGCAAAGTCGACCACACAGCAGGCGAATGCACGCGCTTCATTACCCAGGCGACACTCCGGCAGCGGGGCCATGACCTGCTCTCCTGGTGAAACCCGTCTTTTCCGACAGAAGTTGCAGCGGAAGTCGCATGACTTCACAGCTTGCCGGCCGTTCACTATCCAGTATCTTTGCCTTGTTTCTGCGAGCACGTGGTTAACACCTGTGTGTTTTAGACGTTCGTGTGTGTCTCTGATCACCAGTTGAGTGAAGTGACTCTTCTGAGGCAGGATGACCGGATATTTAGCATCATCTGCTATATCCGCGTTGAGCAGACGGCCAGTCACTCTGAGTACGCCGCCCTCTGTGAGCTGCGGCATGAGACTGATGAGACTGCTTGACCGATCCACGACTCGGTGGTTCTGCAGGTCAGTCAGCTCCTTCTGGAAGGCTTGCTGTTGAGTCACTCTTACCCAGTACCTCTCTGTTTCTTGCAGTTCTTCTGCTGTCAGTGGCCCACTCTTCCTTTGCTGACAAGCCAGCCGACAATTCCCCGTGAACCGAGTGACCCAGGCTGTGATTCTGAGCAGACGCTTCAGCGACGAGAACTTGTTTTCGTCCACGACGGCTTGAAGCTGCTGAGCCGGGAAAGACATCTTTACTTTCCTCTTTTCTTTGTCCGATTCTGGTGATGACGCGACTAGAGGTCGCTCTGGTCAGCTGGATGGATCATGATGCTCTCTCAAGTCTGGTTTCTTCAGCATGCTAGCTTCTAAGCTCTGCAGCCTAGACAGCGCGGCCTTTTTGTTGCTGCTTATCTGTTTGAGAGCGGGCGTCTGACCTTTCCAGGGCACTCCAACTTTATACCTCCCATCCTTCAGCTGCACTGTTTCCTCGGCGCACTTCACTGCACGTTTTTCTTCCGTTGTCAGCAGATTGGAGTGAGGCATTGCCTCCAAGCTGTCATTCTCCCAAAACTGTTTAAGAATGTTGTCCAGCCCAGGGCCCAATCTTACCAATGCCATGAATAGGATTTGGCAGCACTGGCCGGAGTTTACGGCACTGCCGATATCAAACATATCCTTTATATTTACATCTAGCTAATCTTGTCCAATGATTTTTATTGCGTGAGTGATTATGGATGCTGCCTGAAAGAAAGAATAAATGAATGTTGAATAGTTCTGAATGTTACCAAATGCCGTGAATGCGCATTCACGGCGTTTGGTAAGATTGGGCCCAGGTTCGTCAGAAGCAGTGACGGCATGACCGCCTGTCCGTGTCTGACCGGGCATCTGATCTCGTCCGCCCACGGGGCCGACACAGGTCCATCCCAACGGAGTTCTGTCCGCCACGGGGCGCCCTGTACCCCCGCTCCGCCTCTTGAGAACTTCGTGCAGTTCCGGTTGGTCGCTTCCGATCAGCAGATCGACTTCGGCGCCACTCTCTTGAAATGGAACGTCACGTAGGTGATTCCATTGCTCCTTTTCTGTCGGCCATCGGGTCACTTCTAGATCGCGGCAAACTAAAGGCAGAGTGCATACGTGGAGTTTGTTCAGCGCACCATCTTCTGTATCTTTTATCGTGATGTCAGCATGCTGTGTTTTTAGAGACTGGATCATTTCGCCAAGAGTCGATATTTGAAGAGACTCAACTTCTGACGAAATTCCCAAAGCCTCCGCCGCGCTTTATCTGAGGTAGCTTGTATCGGAGCCTCCGTCAAGGAACGCAGTCGCACGCAGTTCCCGGCCTTTATGGCTGATGATGACTGGAATCGTTCTGAGAGCTAATCTGAACTGATTGACAGCTGAACCAGAGGTTGCCCTCTCGGCTGGTCTTGCACTGCTTGTCCACTTGCTCGGTCATTGATTGTTGCGCAGAGCAGGCGGTGTGTCGCGATTCCCCCTCCCCGCCTGTTTGCCGCGCTGTCGATTCATGCCGCCGATGTAGGCGATACCGTGATTTACCCTACAGATCGCCAGAGGACTCTGCCGAGCTTCCGGACCCAGCCAGCACGCCCATTCGCCAAGGTCGGCGTGGATTACTTCGGCCCGCTGTTTGTCGACAACAGCGCCACCAATGTATGGGCGTTGCTCGTTACCTGTGCCACCTCTCGTGCCGTGCACCTTGAGCTGGTTCGTTCCCAGGCGAGTGCCGATCTCGTTCTGGCGCTGAGGAGATTCTTCGCGCTTCGAGGAATGCCAATCGTCGTCTACAGCGACAACGCCAGAACCTTCCGTGCACTGTTAGGTCATCTGCCGGTGTAATCGCCACGCCGAGTGTAATCGCCACGCCGATTGTGGATTGCTCTTGATCGTCAATACATACATACATACATACATACATACTGCCAAGGTGCGTTACGTGGCGCTTCATCCGGGAGGCCGCTCCCTGGTGGGGCGGGTTCTGGGAGAGAATGGTGGGCGTAACCAAGAAGGCCCTGCGAGTCACTCTGCATTTGTGCCACCTGACTTTCGATGGACTGTCTGCAACACTCTATGAGCTCGCATTTTTTTATCAATCTGCGCCCACTCACCTTGGGTGATGGGGAAGACCTACTGACCCCTGCCCACCTACTGTTCGGGGTAACCACCATAGACGGTGTTCTGTGCCCGACGCTGAAAGAGTCCTCTATCAGCAGGGTCTGGCGGCACCAGAAACGGGTGTGTAACCAGCTGACCCGGCGTTGGTGCGCCGAGTATCTCAGCACCCTGCGCGGCTGGAGCACGTCACCTCGCGGTCGGCCGAATCGCACGCCTCTCACGTCGGTGACGTCGTCCTCGTGCACGGCGAGGGACCGCGCGGCCGGTGGCCGGCAGCTCGGGTGGAGAGACTGCTGGCCGGGCCGGACGGCCGCGCGAGAGCCGCCGTCATTCACTTGCGTGGGCGGATGACGCGCCGCCCGATCAGCCGGCTTTTCTTGCTGGAGGCGGCAGCCTGAGCCGCACTAGTGTGAGATCCGTCGCCGCGAAGTGCTGCTCTGATCTGTGTGCTCTGTCACGTTTAGTTTCTTTGTGATGTCTGATGCGCTAGACGTTTAGTTTTTCGAAATTTATCTAGATTTCGAGTGGGGAGTATGTCGCGATTCCCCCTCCCCGCCTCAGTTCAGCGGGCCGCGTAACCCCATGTGCCGTGATTACCCCTCCCCCTGTCTGACCTGAGCGGGCCGCCGCGGTCGTCCCGTGGGGCGCATGGAAACTTATCGGGCGTGTCGCGCTGTCAAACTGTTCGTGATTGGCTGTTTTCGACCAATGGTTTGGGCTGTCTGTCGACTTTTTATTTGGCAGCAATGTTGAAGCCGGTACTGAATGACCGTTTCGAATACAGTTCGCTACCAGAGGTCCACCTGTTTGTACCGCCGACCGACCGAACTAGCATTCGTGACCACCATTAACCATACGGTGATGGAATCGGTTACACTGGCACCTAGTGGCTCGATTACACTCCGCCGTGTGGTGGTTCTTGTCCAGACAACCAAAGCACCGTCTCTGCTTCTTTACTGCCTCCCAGCGTTCATCGGGAGTCATGTTCTTGAACCGATGACATTTCTCCAAACTGTGAGCTTCCTGTGAACAGAGCTCACATTTACGTTTCTTCATCTCAGTCTTTTAACGTCTTACCGGCGCGACTTTCACTTTCACTTGGTCCGCCAGCGTGTCGAGCGCCGAGCGTGCGGTTAGGTTCTCTGAGGCCGATCGGACCACAAAAATCGGAGCTCAGTTTTGCTATTTCAGATCTCGCTTGGAGCCATGGTTCAAGGCTGATCAGGTTCATTTTTCTCCATTTCTGACCGATTCGCTGATGAAGCCTTGCCTGTCGCGTTCTAGCAATTTTCTGAACACATCTTCAAAAAGCGTCTCAGAAAAGACCTCGTGTTCATCTCCCATGTTCTTCAAGCTGAGGACTTGTGGCCGTCAAAACGTCTGCAAATCTTCGCATGGCGTTGCCGTCTTCCGGCTCAATGGGGTTCTGACTGCGAAGCGCACGTAGACGCTCTTTCACTTGCCGATCATGACCTCCAAATCTCTTGTCTAGGATTTTCAGGGCAGCTTGGTAGTCACTCTCCGAAAAGGTGAGACCTTCTTTAGCCTGAAGGGCTTCTCCCTCAAGGTACCCTCTCAGTCGAGTCATTTTTTTCCATCATTGAAATCTGTCTGTTTTCATCTACGCACACCTGGAAAGCCGCTCTGAACTGTCCGTATTGAGCCGCCTGCCCACTAAACTTCGGTATCTTAATGGGCTCCAGATGTGTAACCTTCACCGTCTCAGCGGAAGTGATTTGGCTTCCGCTCTCTTTCTTCATCAGTCTCTTCGTCTGACTTATCAACTGTATCTTTCTCTCCTCCAGTTCGGTCCATGCTTCAAGTTCTTTTTCGATTTCGTCTTCTGGGATGAGACCAAATAGCTCATCTTGCAGACTTTCCATTGACTTCGACTGATCAACGACTGCTAATGCTTCACTGAGGCTTCCTTCATCTTCGTTTTGTGCACTAAGCTGTTCTAGCCTACTAAGTGATCTACTTAATTGGCATTCTTTTGCTTTAAGCCGGCGCTTTACTTTAGTTGCCATCTTTGTACGCTACTTTATTTCGCGGTTTTTACTTTAGATCCGGCCCGTGTCGTGAGTCAGTAAGTAACCGACAAGTTGTGCACAGACGATACTCTCGGTGATCTTAGTGACAGTAGGTAGCACCGCGACAGGTCTATAGTTGTTAGGGTCATCGATCTTACCGCATTTGTGAATCGGAGCAATGCATGCTAGCTTCCATTCCTCAGGTACCTCTCCTGATGCAAGAGAAGCGTTGATCACATGGAGCAGCTGTGGGCCGATCACAGGGAGTGTCATCCGTATCATTTGGATAGTAATCTCATCACTGCCACTCGCCCTGGAGGAGGACATCCGCCGCACAGCATCGGACAGCTCTGGCAGAGTCGCGGCCCTTTCCACGGGCGACAATTAAAATAAGTATCACATTGTGCACCAATCTTCCTTTTCATCTTTTGCACAACCGTTTTAGGAATCCTCAATGCAAAAGATGTCGAAGCCGGAACCGTAGTCGGTCGGAGTGAACAGTTTTATTAGTAGTCGGAGTCATTCAAAATTTGTCGAAGCCCTGGGTGCTGATAAAACTCTCGCTGTCAATGAATTAGAGTTGGCTGATTCATGTTAGAGGAAATGACTGCAATAGAGGAATGACTACATGCTAGTAGCACCTACGTCTAAAAACGAAGCTTAACAGTTTTTCAAATAATAAAACAAGACATGCCAAGAGTGTCAGCTATATATTTCTTCAAGTGAAGTCCTGGGGTTTGTCGGATAAAAGATTGAATAATCAAGTCTATTCTCACTGCACATAATCCAGCGATGATATATACAAGTGCTGCTGATCATAGCACTCCTAGCTCGCACTAATAGTTCAGACGGTTCAAGCCCCCTGAATATCACATCACGAAAAAAAAATCAGGCATCAGCCTCTTGTCACTGAGTCACATTTGTACTAATATACATCTTGCACACTAATCACATGTAGGTAACATAAGTAAAATTTATAAACAAAACACTGTTCTTTAACATAAGATGACAAAAAAAAACAGAACGGTTTAGTAGGAGGTGTGGCCGCCCGCTGCCTCGGAGCACGGCCTCCAGCCGCTGCCTCATCGAGGCCACCAGGCTCCGGAAGTAGCCGGGGCGGCGGCGGAGCTCCTCCCATTTCGCCAAGACGGAGGCCCAGAGCTCGTCCTGGTTGAGCTGCCGGGCCGGCTGGCGCAGCTCCTCCTCCAGCTCATGAACCATTAGAGACCACACATTTTCGATAGGGTTCAGGTCTGGGCTCATTGAGGGCCAGGGGATGGCACAAACCTGCGAATAAAACCATGTTTATTACTCACTGTAACGTGATATAGGTTGACACATCGGTCATGACTATGAAGCTGTATGGTGCAACGAATAACACCTGTTGGAAAGTGTTTGATCATTACTGAGCAATTTTGTAAGGCATCTTAAGAACTTTTTAAATAATTGTTTAAGTAATCTCAACAAGTTTATAACAGGCGGGGACGAGGCGACCAGGGGCAAAGCGGCCTCCCGCACATAGCCGTAGGCCTCGCCTCCTCTAATTGGGATGCATTGCTGTTGG